TCTCTTTTTTTTTAGATTACACGTATAAGTGACATCATACAGTAGTTTTCTTTTTCTTTCTGGCTTACTTCACTTAGAATAATGATCTCCAAGTCCATCCATGTTGCTGCAGATGGTATTATTTTATTTTTTATGGCTGAGTAGTATTCTATTGTACAAATATACCACAACTTCTTTATCCACTCATCTATCAATGGACATTTAGGTTGTTTCCAGGTCTTGGCTGTTGTAAAGAGTGCTGCTATGAACATTGGGATGCATGTATCTTTTCCAATTAGAGTTCCCTTCGGATATATGCCCAGGAATGAGATTGCTGGATCATATGGTAAGTCTGTCTATTCTTACCAGGAAATGTTCTGAATCTCCATCTGGGTGGGTGTTACATAAATGATTATGTAATATAAAAATGTATCAAGCTATGCACTTGAGATTGTGTAGTTTACTGTATATAACTTCTACTTAAATAAATAATAAAAGATCACCCTGGCTTCTGTGTAAAGACTACCACAGTGGTCCGGACAGCAGAGAAAACAGTTGGGAAGCTGTAGCAAAGATGAGAGGTGAGGGGGAAGAAGGATCAGCCTGGGGGAACCGCAGGGTGAGAAGTGGCAAAGGTGGAGTGAAATGAGGGAAGAGGGGGACTTGAGGGTTAGCCCTGGTGGCAGAGCTAGGTGGTGGCACCAGGGACCAAGATGGGAAGTCTGGGGGAGGAGCGGACTGCTGGACCCCTGCCCCGTCCACTGCATTTCCTGGGGTCCTGCAGAAGTTGGATTTCCCTTCACAGCTGCCTTCTGGTCACCACCAGGGGACAGCAGGTTCTTTCGGTCAAGGCAGCCTGAATGGGGAGCAGGACTGTCTGCCCCTGGAGGCAGCTGTGGAGCAGGGAGCCTCTTGCTCCTTGCAAAAGAATCACGTAGGATGGGAGGGAAGGAGATTAAAGCTGAACATGGTGACACCAGCCCTGCACTCCTTATGCCCCAGATGGAGCCAGGCTCCTTAAGATGGTCATGAGGTCTTGCTGCTGACACCGCCCCACCACCTCACCTGCTTCCACTCAACTCCAGCCCCACCTCAGGGAAGAAGTGGGTTCCCTGAGGTGCACCCCCTCCCACACGTGCTGTTTCTGCACCCTCTCTCCTCTGGGCATCCTACACTTCCCTTGGGATCACTGCCTCCAGGACCCTTTCCTGACCACAAATCTGGGTCTGGCTTGCTGCTGCTACTTCTCCCATCATACACCTGTCTCCCTAAATTACAGTAGTCAGGTTACCTGTCTGACTCTTCAGCTCATCTGTAGCTCTGAAAGGAATGGCAGGGCCTGGAATGGGCTCCAAGAATGTAATGTTGAATGAATCTAAGGTGGTAAGAAGATAGCATCTCAGTTAATCCATCTGGTGTTTTGAATGTGGGTTCAAGTATGGGCACCACTTATGAGATGTGGGACCTTGGCAACCGTCGTAACCTCTCTGGGCCCTAGTCTCCTCATCCAGTTACCACAGTTATTGATCATATTCAATGATAGGATGCATGTCAGTCCTTTAGCTTAAAATCTGCACACAGAAGGTGAGGGAAGGGTATAGCTCAGTGGTAGAGCACATGCTTAGCAGGCGCAAGGTCCTAGGTTCAGTCCCCAGCACCTCTGTCAAAATAAAAATAAATAATAAATAAATTAAAACCCTATTACCTCCCCCTGCAAAAAAATCTGTACATGTATATGCTTAATAAAAACAGGAGGATTTTTTCGTGTGTGGTTAAAAAATGAAAGTATGCAAAAGTATGCAATTATATTTGTTCGTATAGACTGTGTAATAAATTGTTAGCTAATGCCAGGGGGTGAAATTGGGAGAATAAGGTAAAATTTTTCATTTTGTACTTTCTATACTTCCGTAGTTGAATGTCTTACATTAAGCATGTTTTACTTTTATAATAACACAAGGTTTAAATGAGAAATAAAGTCCAATAAACATATGAAAGAATACTCAACATCATTACTTATTAGTCATAAAGGAAATGCAAAACAAAGCCACCATGACATAATCCTGCTCACCACCAGAAAGGCTAAATTAAAAGGCTTGACAATACCAGATGTTGGCAAGAATGTGGAGCAACTGGAACTCTCATACATTGCTGGTGGGGCTATAAATGGTACAACCATTTTGAAAAAAATGTTTGACAGTTTCTAGTAATAGGCATCCTTACCCTATGAACCAGAAGTTCCACTCCTAGCTATGACCCAGTCACCAGGAGAAAAATATACATCCACAAAAAGACTTGTACAACAATGTTCATAACATCTTTATTTATAACAGCCGAAACCTGGAAGCAACCCAAAGGCCCATCAACAAGTGGATGGATAAACACTCTGCAGTGTGTTCATCCATTGGAATAGCACATGACAATAAAAGGAATAAACTATAACAGAAGTAACAGCATGAGTTAATCTCGGAAACATCACGTTGAACAAAAGAAGCCGGACACAAAAGAAAATGTGTTACATTGCTGTTTAATTCCATTTATATGAAGTTCCACGACAATCAAAACTGATTTATGGTGATAAAAGTCAAAATAGTGGTTACCTTTGCGGGGAATGTTGACTGGTACAAAAGAACATTCTGGGGTACAGGAAATATTTCATATCTTGATCTGGGTGGTGGTTATACCCATGTATACATAGAAAAAAATTCATCAAGCTATGCACAGATGTTCACAGCAGCTTTATTTGTAAAAGCTCAAAACTGGAAATAACTCAAATGGCTATCAGTAGGTGAATGGATAAAGAAACTGGTATATCCATTCAGTGTGATACAAGCCAGCAACAAAGAGGAATGAACTATTAATACCTATAACACCAGAGATGAATCTCAGAATAATGAGTTTAAAAAAAAGTCAGACAAAAAAGGTGATACTGTATCATCCCATTTATATAAAATTTTAGAAGATGCAAACTAATTCATAGTGATGGAAATCAGAGCAATGGTTGCCAGGATGAATTACAAAGGGCCAGGAAGAAATTTTGGGGGTGATGGTTCTATGGTTCTTATACTTATTGTGGTGATGTTTCTACGGATGTATGCATAAACCCCAAATTGTATACTTTGAATATGTGCAGCTTACTGTACTTCAATAAAGCTGCAGAAACATAAAAAAAAAACACCTCATTGAGAATTATGCCTCTGATGTGTATAAGTTGGGCTTTAAGAAATAACAGAAGAAGAAAATTAAGAAACTGTACTTCTGACCCTGTTTCCCAGATTGGCACTTCCAGCCTCATCCAGGTCCCACAGGATCCTTCTTTCTCTCCTGGCGAACCCCCTAGAGAACTTCCACAAATTGATGCTCTGAAGCTCAGTTGGTGCACCTGGGGTGCCTGGCTTCTTAAGAGCAAATTTGTTCCATCCCTCATAGCCCGGCTCAAATACTACCTCCTCCACCAGGACGCCTTCCTGCCTTGTGCCATGCCCTCCCAGCTCAGGGCTCCCAGGGCCCTCGGCTCAAAGCTCTATCATGGCACCTGCTACCATCCACATCATATCATCAGAATTAGAATCCAGGGTAGACCCCCTGTCTTCCACACCAGATGCTGACAATCATCACAAGAGCAGCTACCATTTGATGGGCGTGCCAGGCCCCGGGCCAAGTGCTGTAT